TTCGCCGTCGATGAAATCTCCGATATGTACTCTGTCATTGAGTTACATTCATCGCGGCGCACGGTGATGAGATGCCTCAGCAGCGTTATTTTCCGTGTGAGACCTTTGTCGTCGAACAGATGCTTCAACGCCGTCCAGATGCCAATCGCCGTCGTGTGACCTTGGATGTGCACGTAAAGTGACTCCTCCACCGAAACGATAATCCGAGCTCTCGCTTTCTTTACTTTTGTTGGGTCGGTTTCAATGTTCGCCTCTGCAATCGTGCCATCGAGTTCCTCAAATTCCAGAACACTTTTCATTGCAAATTGCCATGTATGGTAGTTTTCCGAGCCGCGGAGTTTTTCGATAACAAATTCTTTTCCCATTGTTTCGATTCTAACCTGTTCATACGCGAGCTCGATACGATAGGCTAACCACATAATTCCGCAATTTTGCAATTTTTCACCGAAATATTACTTTGCACAACAAAATACCGACAATTTCGAGTTAACTGGGCCCATAACCTGTTGAGGATGGGTATTAAGGAAGCGGGATTACTCGATAAAATAGCGCGAGATCGGTTTCGTATAGAAAAAACGTGTATATATATTTTAGCCACTTGTGAAGAAGAACTGAAAAAATTTTTGATAACAAGAAGTCGCGGCACGATGACAAAGAAGGCGCTCACCGTCTACAGCGCCACACGGCGCCACCGCTTAACAGCGTAATGGGGCGTTTACATGACAACATTTTAATATACAATTGTAAAAGTAGAAATAGAATCATATATTACTTTTTATGTTCACCTTACTCGTATATATTTCATTAAAAAAAATGTATATATATACACATGGATATGTTATATACATATATTAGAACCACGCCAGTTTTATGAAATATATACAAGTAAGGTGAATATAAAAAGTAATATATGATTCTATTTCTACTTTTACAATTGTTTATTGAACACGTACGATTATAATCTTAATCGGAATATTTGTACGATGATGTCGGTGAAAGTATCCGTCATTAACTATTTGCTCGGTGAGAAACGATGTAAGCAATTAGACATTTTGAACCTCTTTATTCTTCTAATTCTTCTCTGTGATTGGCTCTAAAAGTCCATTTTACTCGTTCCTCGTCTGATTATGTTCATTCCTTATGTTTATTCATTTCTGATATGTTCTCTATTGTCATTGTGACTTAGAGAAATAGGCGGAAAACCGATTCTGCTCGGGATTCATAATAGCAAAATCGCATGAGCGGAACTGTGATCGGAAACTGGCCAGTCGGAATCTCGCGTTTCCAATCGGAATTGAACAATTTTCATGATAGGTGCCCAGGAAGAATTCCTTGATATAATTTTATCAATATATAATAAATTAACTGATGAAAAATTATTTCGTCGCTGTGCACAGTGTTTAACTCAAAATGCAAATGAAAGTTTACATAGTATGATTTGGCGTAATTGTCCAAAAGATATTTTTCCATTGAAACATCTTGTTGAAGCTGCGGTCGCAGAAGCTATGTGAATACAATGAAGGATGCAGAAAAACAATAGTAAATTCTTTCATAGATTCTGGAATAACAATAAGTGTGTCATCAACGAAAGTAGGGCAAAAGCGGGATAAAAAACGGATGCTTAGATATGAAGAGAGAACGGAAGCGAAGTTCAAACGTGCTAGAAAAATAATACGAACTGCACAGTTACAAAGAGAACAGGCTTTACCTCAAGAAGAAAGTCTAACATATAATGCAGGAAGTTTTTAAAAAAAACTTATAGTAAAAGTAAAATACTTACAATTATTCATTATTTCTATTATTTTTATATTTATTTTGAAGTTATTTTTTATTACAAATTACATGTATTTTGTGTTAAATATAAGCATATTGAAAAAAATAAGACTTTATTTTTTGAAAAACCTTATAACTACGACAGACATTTAATTTTTTAACTGAAATTTTACCTACATACGTGAGGGATATCCAACAAATAAGGGTATGGATTTTACGATCAGATTATTAAAAAAAAAAATTTTTTTCAAAATGGTAGAAAAAATTTTTTTAAATAATTTATTGTTACACCATTCAATTCAGCGTTGAAAACAACGTACTCTCTAAAAGTGAATCAGTGAAATTATCACTAATTATTAGTGTATATTATTTTCCAGTGGCATACTTAGAACTGTGATAAATAGTGACTATTTCAATTTCGCTTCAGTGATAATACACTGATTTAAACAGTAAATATTACTGAAAGACAGTGAATTTGACTGTTTAATAGTGAAATTCACTATCTTTCAGTGATATTCACTGTTTAAATCAGTGTATTATCATTGAAGTGATATTGAAATAACCACTGTTTATCACAGTTATATATTTTACCATCATCAAAACACACACCATCAAATAAAACAATAAAATGTATATTTTTAATATTATAATCAATAAAATGTGAAATTTTTAAAATTATGTTTCTTTCCCTTTCCTTGTGGTTAAGATCGTATATGTATATAGCACTACTACATCGAGATGTGTGCGAGACACGTTTATATTTATCTTTGACGCGGATAAAATTTCTGCCTGGCGATGATCGCGAACGAAAGAACATTTCTATGCAGTTAGGAACGATAGCGATTTGATAGAATAGGTCTATCGGTTCGACAGATCAGCGATATTGGTTCGATAGATCAGCGGTATCGGTTCGATATAACAGGGGTATCGGTTCGATAGGCGGTTTGATGATGGTTTTATACTATGTGTCTTCGTGACATTACCATGACATTGAGATGCGACGAATGCTGACACGTTCATTTTTATCTTGACTCGTATAATATATCTAACTAATGAAGGTCGCGAAAGAATATGATTTTCTTTGTAGTTAAACTAATAATGGTTTGATAGAACAGACAGGCGGTTAATTGAATAGGGGTATCGGTTTGACAGAACAGAGATATCGATTTGATTGTGGTTAGACAGAACAGCGTTATCGGTTGAACAGATCAGCTGTATCGGATTGATAGGCGGTTCCATAGCGGTTCCGTAAAAGCATTTTTTATAGTTACGACTGTTTCAATTGCGAATTCATTTATATTCTTTATAGCTGCTATCATTTCGTGGGAGCGCGTGGTGATATAACGTATATATCAATATCATTCTCACGGTGTGCGCATTATCAGGTAGGAGAGATAATTATTTCTATAGCATGCATTTTTACTCGCGGGTTCTCGTGGACCCTTGAGTCAGTCGACAATGATTTGTTGCGATTGTTCAATTGTCCTACATTGATCCTAAAATGAGGTGCATTGTTTGTGAAAAGTACTTTGTGCCCAACACATGTGATAACTGTTCACGTAAATATTGGTTGCGAGCAACCAGACACCACGCGGCGTCGGGCCACAAAGACGAATTTTTGCGGGCCCTGGCGAGGGCGAGGACGCCTCCGAGGGTGGACGAACCCGCGCGGGGTGGAGGCGTCGGAGGACAGCGGCACGAGGGCGAATCCGCGCAAGGAGGCGCCAAACAGCCCACGCGAGGATGAGCCTCCCCAAAAAGCACAATCTAGTGGCATAACAGTTATAGAAACATTTATACAACTTTTTTTAAAACTTTGTAACTTTTCTTACAACCGTAATGCAACTCAAAAGTGCAGATAGTAACGTTGTTGAAACGTTTATATTAACTAAGTGGGGAATCTATACGACTGATTTTCAACGTCGCATTAACCACATTAAAACGTGTAATACAACTTGTTTTATAACTAACCGTTAATAGTCGTATAGAATTATGTCTCAATGACTGTCTTAAAGACCACGTACAGATATTAATACAACTATCGTTTAAGTATATGCGAACCTAATAAAACTGTTAACCTAGTCGTATATACGTAATAACGTTTAAATAATTATCGTAAAAATTACGTAAAGACTTTAATAAAACTTTCATATTATACATAAAAGATGCTAAATAAAAAAATATTAAGTAAGAATTTTTCTATGAATCAAACGATTCAACCGGTTTTACTTAAAAACTAATTATACAATATTACTATACATATACAATATTACTATACATATATATTTCGCTTCGCACGCACGCTTACATGTGTATCATAGTACAATTACATATGTTATGGATCAACGACAATAGTCTTATAAACGAAGTGCTAAAAACTGTGCACTTACGAGAAAGTTAAAAAAGATCATTCACCACCACTCTGCGCATCTGCGAATTACAGAGCAGAGCGGTAAGTATTGACGATATCAATATTACCGACAATGTGACAAATGCCACTTTCAGCACGCGGCACGTGATGAACTCGAGGCATTCCGACATCCGACGAGTGCGGATGTGTTTTGTGAGTTGCTGACGCAATTATTCGACATTGTTAAGATGTATTTTTGATTATTTTTAATTCTGCATACGAAATTTGAAAGACATGATTGATTTTGGTACTGACGATTGACTTTGGTTAAAGCTTCGCTTGGAAACTGTTGCTATTATAGGAAGAAGAAGAAGTGAACTCGACAATTGACACACATTCTAAAACCCAAATTTCGGTGCTTGAAGTGGATCAAAAGTGTATAAAAAATGTTTTCAATTGTTAAAACAATTGAACAAAACAAAGTGTTTTTTACCACAGTTCCTGACGACTAGATTGTGAATGATACTTTATATTTTCCAATGGGAAAGGATTGGAAAAATCTGAGAAAAAGAAAATGTAAACCGGAATTAGATTGGAAAACATTCAAATGTTCGATCAAAAAAAAAAGGTTTTATGAAATTAGAAGATGCTCTTCAAGAGGAGAAAAAAATTGTCGAATTTGATGACACTGAAGAAGAAGAAGAAGAGTATGTTTATTTTGATTTACTTAGCCTTACTCTTATTATTTCAATTTAATTATATATTTTACAAGATTTTGAACACGTATATCTATTTACAGGCATGTCAGAAACATAATCGAAAAAAGGAAGCACCCATGTAAAATAAACTCCATGAAGAGTATGCGAGACTATAATGACAGATTTTGTGATGCTTCTTCGATATTAACAATAAATCCTGAGAACAATCCGATCGAAAATAAATCATCAACTACTGAAGAAGAAATATCCCCATCACATAAAAAACGTAAAAATGAAGTAAAATCAAGTATGTTTACGATTAAAGTATATTGAGATTTTAATATACTTTTGTGATTCTAATATTAAAAATGATTTGTTTAAATAAATTCCTTTAATAAAATTGTAGAGAAATCATCAGATTACTTGCAATCAACTGACATAAGCAATGAAAAATTAATCAATATGGAGTACAACATTTTAGATGTACCAATAGAAATCGATTCTGAACTAGATCATTTACCTGTATTACCTTGTGTTTCTACAAATTATTTAAAATTGGAAGAAGAAATAGAAAAGAGTAAGTAAAATAATGTTGCAATTAGAGCCTCCGTTCTATCGATACGAGCAATTAAGTTTATATGAATTGATTAAATTCATAAACAAAATAAACATTAATATGTATATATATATATATATATATATATATATATACATATACAATGTTTATTAGTTTTGTATTAAT